GCGCAGCCCCCCTCTCCAACTCCATCTCCTCCTTTGTAGTGCTTGGCGAAGCCCTACCGGAGAACTGTAAGCTCCACAACCACGGCGTCGTGCTGCCGGAGCTCTCCCTCAACTTCTCCTCTCCCCTTGCTGGATCAAGAAGGAGGAGACGTCCCCGGGCTGTACGTGTGTTGAACGTGGAGGCGCCGCTCGTTCGGCGTTAGACCGGATCTTCCGTGATTTGAATCGCCGCGAGTACGACTCCCTCATCCGCATTCTAATGACGCTTCCGCTTAGCGATCTTCAAAGGTATGAAGATGCTCATCCTCTCTCTCTCTTGTTGCTAGAATCTCCATAGATTGATCTTGGTGATGCGTAGAAAATTTTGAATTTATGCTACGTTCCCCAACACTTGGTGCATTGAATGTTCTTGTTGATGCTGATCCTCTTGGAGCTCTTGTTGATGCTAATGAAGACCTGGCTGCTCCTGCTGAAACTATTGATGCTGAACCTCTCTTATGTGTTGTTGTTTTTCTGTTCCTCATTGCTTTAGGAGGTGGAGCGGATAAGGCTGGCATCTGTGAAGTTTGGTGTTGATGTGGTGGTTGTGGAGGTGGATGTGTAGCACTAGAGGAACCCCTAAAAATTGCTCTATTCTCCTGCATGATAGAATTAAAATAGTTAGTAAATAGACCAGATCTAAAATAATTAAACAAAGATGCAACATTTTTAAATGACCTGGTGTAATTTCTTTCTCATCTCAAGACTTGGTTTTAGAGCTTTCCCACAGTTAGCATATCTATGGCCCTATAGATCACAATTTTTGCATGTAATTGTTCTCATCCTGCTTGTGTCCTTTGGTGCAGGCACCTCAAACTGGCCCTTTCTCCTAGTTGTCTGTTTCTTCCCTGGTTTTTCTTTGAACACTAGGGGCTCAATATCCTGAGTATGGGTGTCCGGCCAGAATTTAGGACCAGGGACAGGGTACACTATGTCTTTATATGCTTCAATATATAGTGGTTTTTTGAAAAATTCATGCACATAGTCCTCTGGGTGCATGTGAAGCTTGCTCATTGCTGCTATTGCATGACTGCATGTCACACCTGTCATGTCCCACCTCCTGCAGTCACATGAGTTAGTAGCTATGTTCACACAGTACTGATTTTCACCACTAGACACTTGCCAAATGTCAAGACCAGCCCTATGCGCCTCACAAAATTTGGCATACTTCTTATTCTCCTCCAGTTTCTCTAAATAGTGGGTGTGATCATCCACCTGCTGGTCTCTGTCTTTTCTCTAGTCTTCTACCTTTTGATCATCTGCTTAGTCCTCACTCCTTCAAACATAGTCCTAATTGGTTTGGCCCTAACATCAAGGATCATTTTGTTGAAAACCTCACTAAGGTTGTTCACAACAAGATCAGTTTTACAATTGTAATCCATTGCAGACTTACACCAAGTCTCCTATGGAATTTTTTAAGCCACTTCCAAGCATCCTCACACTTTGCTTTAAGCTCTGCCATTGCTAATTCATGGCCATGTTTGGTGAATGAGTAGCTAGCCCGATCTACTAGCTTCTTTAGTTCTGCTCCTCTGAAACCAGCTGACTGAAAATTTGCATATATGTGCCTCAGGCAGTATCTCTGAGGGGAATCAGGGAACACCTCATTTATAGCCTTAAGAAGACCCTGATTATAAATTAACAACCATGGTGATGAACGAAAAGAAATAAATCCAGTAATAACAATATATATCTGAACTACTGGCTAAGATAGGGTGCATACCTTTTGTCTGTCAGAAATAATGGTGTAGGTTCCAAATTTGCTTCCACTTCCAATGCAACATCTTAGCTGGGTTAGGAACCATGTCCAACTCTCTGAATCTTCCTTATCAACCACACCAAAGACTATGGGGTAGATGTTGTTGTTGCCATCTCTTCATGTGGCTGCAAGAATTTGCTGTCCAGTGGTTAGCTTGATGAAGCAACCATCAAGCCCTGCATCCATACCCAAATTAGCTACCATAATTTTATCAACAAGATATTTTGAACAAAATGCAGTTGTAGATTTACCTATAAAGGGCCTGCAACTATTAAGAAATCCTTGCTTTGATGCATGCAAGCAGTAGAACATGTACTTAAATCTAGGAGTTGGTGCAGGGTTTTCTGGGTCCTCAAATGTTGTAACTATACACCTGCTACCAGGGTTTGTATCAATAACTGCTTGCAGGTAGTCCCTCAGTCTATAGTACTGCTCCTTCTGGTCACCTTGCACAACCTTCATAGCCTTCCTCCTTGCCCTATAGGCCACACTCTTTGATACATCAACTGAAAACTTGACTTTGCTGTTTTTAATAAGTGCGTCTACAGGTGCTCTATGATCTGCTCTAAGAGAAGGCTCAACTGCTTTTGAAAGCCACTTAGTAGTAACCTTTGTGTTCTCTGCTGATGCTGGACAAGTGTGCTTCATGTTACACTTCTTAATGCAAAAAGTTCTTTCATGAGCTATCTTGGAGGCACACATGTAAAATTCACACCCATGCTCTCTCTGTGAACACCAAACAATAATTCTTGTTGGGGAGTTCTTGTGGTAGTGAAAAGACATCAAAGTCCTTATATGAAAATCCCTTAATGCTTCTCTGAACTGGTAAACACTGTCAAAACACAAGCTCTTGCACAACAGTAAATGTGAATTGGGAATTCTCGGGTCAAAATATACACTTTCCTTCATCTTTTTTTACTACACTTTGTCTTTGGCTTCTTCATCAGGTATGGTAGTTCAACTTCATCTTCTTCTTCCTCATCACTTATGCCTACATCACCAGCAAAACAAAACTCATCTGCTTCAAGAAACCAATCTTCAAAACATTTTTTCTCTACCTCATTGTGACATCTACTAGTTGGACCAGGGTTCTTCACATGTTTCACAATAGCAGTACTTTCCAATGCTCTGTCCTCTTCAGAGGCACACTCTATTTCCATTTGAACAGCTTCAGCACTCCCATCTGAATGAACTGAATCATCTAAACAAAATTCAGACACTTCAGTGTCTCCTTCAAAGTGGTTCAAATCCGCCTCTCTTTGAATCCTGCTCCTCTCAAGCTGAGCCTTTCTATCATCTATCTGATTCTGAAGCTCAGATTGCTCCACAACCTTTTCCACACAACAGCTCTCTTGAGTGTTCATGTAATTCTCATTAGCATGTGTACTAATTCCAGGTTCAACATTTCTCACAACCTTTATGTTCACAACCTTGGCATGATGAAAAAACTCCAACATTTCATGAACACTAGCTTCATTACCTAAATAATTTACTCTTTCAGATCCAATTTCCTCCTCCTTCACATAGTACATGTAACCACTCTCCCCATACCCTTCACTAGCAATAAGTGATTGTACAGTAAGAAAAGAAATATCTGACTCATATATACCCCTTTTCACAAGGTTTCTTCCTTCTAAATGAAACCATATCTCCCACTTTTGGTCATCCAAACTGCACAAATATGTGCTCATCAATTGAATTAAAATTGACAGAACTAGAATTGCAATAAAGTTTACTAAACATGTTCAACAAACATAAACAAAGTCTCACTAAGTTGACAGATTGAAGAAAACATGTGCATTTTAAGCAAGAGATTCTCCATACCTGCCACCCTTAGAACATCCAGGCGCCGACGATGACTTGGTGAGCGGTGCCTCCGGCTGCTGAAACCCTACCTGCGTCGCGTAGCTGCTGCTCCCCAACTAGTTATTCACTTCAGAGAACGAGCCCACAATGTCCAAACTTGTGCCACCGGCGTCGCTGTGCGCCGCCGCCGTCTCCGCCACCCATATCGCCACCGCCCCCGTCCGGAATCACCGACGCCATAGCGGCCGCCACCTAGGTCAGACAAAGGACAGAGGGAGAGGAAGGAGAGAGTGAAGCACGAGAGGGGAATGGATTGGATCAGATCTTGACCGTTCCGACCGACAGCCGCCGTTTCCGACCGCGGACGCGCCGTTAATGGCCGTTAACGCGCGGTGGACGTCGGTTGGCCACCGTGGCACCTGAAACATGGGACCGGCTGGTCAGTTTGGTGATTAGCGCGGGCGAAGCGGACGGTTTCGAGACTTGGTAGTTTTTTTGCCACGGATTAGGGCAAAACTGGTAGTTTTCTGTCACATTTCCGTGAAATGTGGTAGTTTTTGGTTAAATACTCGAGTTAAATTGCTATCTGCAGCAACAAATTAAATCTTTGCCCTCTGTGCAAAAATTAATCTCTGCTTAGGTGTTGATATCTGCATCAGAAACCATAGAAATTCCCGACCATGTACACATCCGAGGAAGCGACAAGCCGCCATCTTCTCCGAACCGTTGTGCTGCCTCCGTCTCTCCCACCGGAGCCACCATAGCCTCATATTTGCAAGTACGAGGGTCAGGAGAAGTGACTCAGTTTTTCTTTTGGTGTAACAATTCTGTCTGTCGCACGAGTAGAATTCACAAGATGTGGGAGAGGATTTTACCCAGGTAGAACCCGACGGTTTGGGACTCGATATGGCAGGGAGTAAAACCAGTCAGGTTTGTAACGCTGACAAGGATTGAAGGGATTATTCGACCAAGTTTCAACCCCAATCCGAGCCGATGCAGTGGTAACCAAACAAGGCCAAGGGGAAAATCCCATCGGGATGCCACGGCATGGGGAGAGAAAGGTGCACATCTATGCACCTTAGATTTTCCAAGCATACAATGATACAATCTATGGTATTCTTTTGCAATCACTAACTCCTCTTCCTTGACATGTCAAATACTAGAATAATAAAATGTATATGCAAACAGACTACAAGCTATTTCAACAAGAAAATTACAAACTTTACAACGGAGCGGCAAGCCACACTCGCATAGCGCAAAGCCACGGGCATTGTGCCTGCAACCTAAAGTATGCTATGGGTCCTCTTTGAAGAAATTTGGCAAGATAAGCTACATTTTCGACTGAACCAAGCAAGCAGCACTTCAGTCATTTGTCCTAGATGACCCCACTACAGCATCATATATAAATCGGCTTCACATCATTGGCCCCAAAGCTTAATCCACAGGAAGGACATCTCCGCTGGCGGTTTCGAAGTAACTTCTGTATACAGTCATTGCAGAAAAGATGGTAGCACTTGGTGATCACGACCTAAACGGCACCGAAGAACGAGTTGTCAGATTTGATATGGTGACCAAGGTTATAGGAAAGGAAGGCAGCACTATTCACCTCTTTCTGTCGGTCGCGGCAGACACCACACTTCAATATTCCCCTGTACTCATTGACCTCCTGATGAACCTTTTCCAACAACGACGAGGCTTCTGTCTTCACTCGAAGAGAACTAGCTTTCCTTGACATCGATTCCAAGTCATCCTCAATTCTCCTCTTACTAAACCTGGAAAACACCATTCAACTTGTGACAGAAATCTGGAAGTCACATGGAGTATGGAGAGAATAAATCTCTGTAAACAATTACCTATCCTTCTCTAGTTCTACAAGCAACCCAGCAACTTCTAGTCGATTCCTCCCGACCTTGGCTTGTACTTCATCCATTGACTTCCTCAATTGTTGAACCTCTCCCTGTACATCCACCAGCTTTCGTTGAGCATTGCCTGAAGATACAGAATGTCGCCGTCCATCCTCTGAAAGTCTCCCTATCTGCTCTGACCAAACTTTTAACTGCAAATGGGCAAGGAAAAACATGTGTTCAGCACTCCCTAAAATATGATGTTCGCCCTTTTATGCGTTAAAATTTACCTTGTCGTCAAACTGGGCAACTTTATCTTTGTAGAGATCCATCAAGCTCTTTGCCTGCCGTAAATTCCTGTTCAGGTTGCATACTTCTAAATGCAAAGTATCCTGTGCCTGTTTCGCCTTAACGCCTTCCATAAAGATCTGTAGTAACATGTAAACATAAGATGGTGCAGTAGAGGTCTCTGTTCAAAAAGATTCTTGTACTTCTATCTCCGACAAATAAAGATAAACATGACTCTAGAATGACCATCTTTGATTTTTCTTGTGAAAGCTATGCTGATTAATCAGCCAAATATGTGCACACATTACTAATTTGAAGTTTTCTACACAACTTCAGTATGTAGCACCACACCTTCTCTCTGCTGTATAACCGTAGCTGTCATTTATTGCTGAACAGAAGTTGGGAATGTAGGCAGACCACAACAAAAACATTACTTATTTTCAAGATATTGCTCCATCCAACTTGAGCATGTGTTCACCATTTAGACAGACCATCATGCCAGTAGGTGTTAAGAGCGATGTTTGGACCAGTCAGTAGAAATGAAATGATAAAATATTTTGTTGCAGAATAGTCCAACTGACTAGCTGGCAACAAAATGACATGTAAGATGGTGTTGCCAAAGAAAATGGAACATATTCTTGTGCTTTTGCACAAAGTATGCCAGTTTCTGCTCCCTGCACGACCAAATCAAGAGTCATCCTTGACCTTTGCTTGTCTTATCCATCTATTACCATACCAGTTTGTCGCATCAACAAGAGATAAGCACTAATCCCACAGTGGCAGCATTGGCATATTACTTCCATAAAAGAAGATTGGCACAGGAAGGATCAGTTCCTTAGAAGTAGATATAGAAAATAGCAAATTGTATTGGAGACTTGGACTCACGGCCTTGTCTCAGTCAACCCCCTCATCTTGCCTTTTATTTCTCCAGCCACCTAGATTTATCTCAGTCTGGATCAAAACCCACCTCCGAAGTGGCCTGGAACTGTCTGGGTGCCACTGGTTATTGGCTCAAAAGTATATATATTGTTTGCATCTCCTCTTTTCTCCCATCTTCCTCCCTCCTCTATCCCCTTCTCTTTCTTGTCTGCCTTCCTCTTGTTATGGCGCTGCTAGAAGGAGGGCGCGAGAGGGCCGGCCGGGGGCCTTTCTGCCCACGGCCGGGCAAGAGGGAAGGGATTTCCTTCTTAATTCTTGCTTGATTCAATTGATACATCTCCTCTCTTTATATAGAGAGGCTTACTTGACTCCCAAGCAAGTCTTACTTGACCCCTAAGCAAGCGACTCTTATCTCTAATTAACCCTAAGACTAACGGGCTATACCGCCAGCCCAGGCCATTAAGGCCCATTACGTACTCTAACACTACACCCCACCTGGACATGCAGCTTGTCCTCGAGCTGCAGCCTAACCAACTTATAACCATGACTCGACGCAACACAAACCTAACACCTAAAAACAAGCCTTTTACATCTCGGCTTGTTTTATTACTCTCAACCTAAAATGGACTAGGACGCTTTATTTTGGACCCCTTAACAAAAAGTGGACACCATCCACACGGCGGACGTGCACATGTACAACCACCTGGATCCCATGGACACCATCTAGACAAAAGGAGTGCATGTGTATGGCCACCTGGAAGTGGTCGCAAGAGCGACCAGCAGAGGTGCCCTCACGGCGGCCGGCGGAATGCAGTGGTGCTACGCAGTGCGCTCTTGTCGGTGACACCCTGCCTTCTCCCTGCTAGACGGCTGTTGGTCTGCACCGCACAGGGAAGAGTGGAGGGCTTGCGATGGAGAATGACGAGGAGGGGTGCACCCCCTCAACCGCCGATGTCGCAGACTTTGAGGTCACTGCCTGCGGGGAAAACAACATGCCCGCCGCCCGTGGGGGAAATCTTATGCCCAAGATCCCCGACGCAGTGGACGAGATCGAGGTCCTTTGCGCAGCGAAGGGCAACTTGGAGGAGCGGCAGCTACAGACCACGCATCTCCCGCACACGTCGACGCGCTAGAAGGCCGCGCGCAGCAGCCTGCAGCCTCACCGCCGCCGACACGTGGCGGGTAGCGATCCAAGACGGAAGCGGTGACGGCGATGGCGGGGACTTGATCTGCTGGATGTGGACGCCCTGGCATGGCGGCGCTGATGAGAATGAGGTCGTCGCAGTCCCGTCGTAGGGCACCCATACTGGGCGGCGGAGCTGACCGGCGGTGGCTGTTGCAGCTGCAGCGGCTGCTGCGGTGTCGCGCCGGGCAACAGCAGAGGCTGCTGCGGCGGAGCGCCGGGCGCGGCGAAGGCCGCCAGGAGCGGCGGCTACCACTGCAGCCAGGGCTGGGCGGTGATGGCGATGGATGGCAGCTGCAGCAGCCCGGCGAAGGCCGCCTGGTGCGGCGGCTGCCATGGCAGCGCGGGGGCGGCGCAGCCGGGTGCGGCCCGTAGGACCCGGCCAAGAACAGGTGGATCTCCTTGACCGCCTTGGTTAGATCCCGCAACATCCCGAACACCTCCTACGGGGTGAGGAAGGCGGGGGCGGGCGCGACGGAGGATCCCGGCGCGGGCAGGAGCGGGGCGACTGTCGTGGTGGTCGCCGGAGGCGACGAGGTGACCTAGAGCAGAAGAGACGGGCTTGGCAGCGGTGAAGACATGATCGAACCGAAGCTAGCTGATACCAAATTGTTATGGCGCTGCTAGAAGGAGGGCGCGAGAGGGCCGGCCGAGGGCCTTTCTGCCCACGGCCGGGCAAGAGGGAAGGGATTTCCTTCTTAATTCTTGCTTGATTCAATTGATACATCTCCTCTCTTTATATAGAGAGGCTTACTTGACTCCCAAGCAAGTCTTACTTGACCCCTAAGCAAGCGACTCTTATCTCTAATTAACCCTAAGACTAACGGGCTATACCGCCAGCCCAGGCCATTAAGGCCCATTACGTACTCTAACACCTCTCCAAGCAGTATGGGAATGCTTTGGATGCCATCCTAGCGCGTCTTCTCCCTTACAACTGCTGCAGATCAGAAGGAAGCGGCATGGAGAAGGGTAGGCTACACAGATGGAGAGGCAGGCAGTGTCCTAAATTTTCAAGCAGAAGGAAGGTGAGCATGATGATTCACGGCAAGGCCATCAACTCAAGTAGTGATGCTGACAGCTTTGGTTAGGGCGGGGTCAACGGCCTCGAGGCATTGACAAGGATACAAGATGTTTATTGTGTTGTCCTGGTTCAAAAAGCGAAGAGGAAGGATGCCACACTAATTCTGCCACACAGGAGTTAGTGGACTAGGCCAGAGAGCTTTGTATTCAGCTTGTAAGTGGTCGTGTGTGCTCATGAAATCAAGCCTAAGTTGATATTCACAGAAGGGAACTTGAAGCCTGCTATTTGGTTATGTGTCTTGAAAGTCTGCTAAATTTGTGTTGCAAATCATCTGGCATGTAGAGCACAATTTGAGTAATTATCCATGCTCAAAACAGAATTCTGTTGAAGTCTAGTACCAATATGTCTTTGGTTTCAACAAATAAACCAGGGGGTTAATCCGCCATGCTCAAAAGAAAAATATGATGCTCCAGCTCTACGTTTTTTGTTAATCTGACGTCAGGAGATTATAATGCTCTGGCGGGTATCATGACAAAATTACCATTACCGGCATGAAAACCTGGATAAGATCATGGTGGCAATCTAAACCTTCTAGTTGCATATTTAAGTTACTGTTGGCATGTAATTATGGGAACTGAAGTAAAAAAACAAGCTTTAAGTGAAACCAAAGTCATCGTAAACATAAGTAGGTGGTTTTAAGATTACACTAATTAATGTTGAAGACAAGGATACATCAACATGAACACAGAACAGCAACTGAGTCCATAAAATTACCTTTGTATTGTGGTCATCTCTCTCAATAATTTGCTGTAGCAATTGTTGATTTTGTGTTTGTATATCTTCATATGCTTGCCCAATACTCTGAAATGTCAAAAATGAACAGTTCTAGAATGCTGATTTTCTGTATTTTTACGAAGATGTAGAGATGAAACATACCTCAATCTCTGACAGGTACGCTTCACCTTCTTCATGTTTTGATTTCAATAATTCAGATAAACTACCAATATCCCTGTAACGCACAGGAAATTCACCAGTAAGCACCTTTTTCACCAGTAAAAATAGATGATGTATCCAGCTTCTGCCTACTTCAACACATGCAATGGCATATCACAGCAAAGTGCAGAGATTCCAAATATCCAGTAGAGAAACTACATCGGAAAAGTATAAATAAAATGTACCTTCTGGCACTCTCCATCTTCCCCCTTAATTCAGCAATCTCAGCTTCACCACTTGCTAGTCTCTGCTGAGACATTGCTTCAGCTTCAATGGCTACCTTAACACGCTGTTCTAGCCTACTCTCATCAAGAGAAGATTTGAGGCTATGGACATGAGCCCATTCACAATATTCTCCATCTTTGGACTCCAGCAAATCTCTGTCACAAAACAATAAGGGGTGGACATCAGAACAGTAGAAGTTTGTTTTAGTCGGACTACTGAACTTGGTACGTACTCCCTCTGTAAAGAAATATAAGAGTGTTTAGATCACTAAAGTAGTAATCTAAACACTCTGATATTTCTTTACGGAGGGAGTACTAAACAACGTTTAAACGCTCAGTACATTATTCGGATGATCTGATCTCTAGACTAAATAGGAGAACAAACATGGTGGAACACGATAAATTTTAGAAGTAGTTTCATGAAGGATTTCTGCTGTAATAAAACCACCTTGAATCAGTAGAATCGCGTTTATACATTTCCACAAAGAGCTTCAACTCGCAATTCGTTTGCCTTAGTTCACAAACCTACACAGCATGTGAATTCAATAGTTTAAGAATTCATAAAAACAACATGAATGGAAATTAAAGAAACTAGCTAAAACAAGCCATTTCCTGATGGCTGGTGAAGACAATGGAATCCAAAAAAATTCTAGTTAAATCAGCAATTTTTTAATATCGGTACCCTGGATCGTAGACCCCTTGTCTCAGATCCAGCGTGAGCAGATCTACATAATGATTCGTCGATAGTGTGCTCCTGTAAAGCACAAAACGAATAGCTTAAATTTAACTGAAACAGTCACAAAACACTCATAAACTTCTTCAACAAGCTCGTATAAAGAAATTTACCTTTCTAGCCAGAATATCAGAAACAGAGTGAACTTCGGCTCGCAAAGAATGCAATTCTGAAGCATCATCCTTGTACTTGGATAATTCAGTTTGCATAGCACCCATTTCTCCTGGCAGTGATGACACCAGCGCTTTAAATTCTGATATGATTTGGTTCCGACCTGAACATTGAAAGTGTTTACTTATTTATATTTGGATATGGCCAGAAGAGAATAACTCAATGTTGTTAGCAAAGTCAAATAAGAATCATCATACCAGGTTCTCTCGAAGATTCTTCAAGTTTCAGCGCAAGCATATTCTTTTCATCAACTACTTTCTGCCGATTCTGTTCTAAAACTGCAATGCTTGACTCACAATTCAGAGATACCCTATGAGGAATTCCAGACAGATCAACTTTTACATTAACTTCCCTTTCTTGCCATATCAATTTATCCTTATTAACCTGAAAAGGCAAGTAGAAGCTTAGCCAAACATAACATACATAACTGAGGCTCTTTGCTACATGACATGTAAATTATGCTGAGTAACCACCTGTAATTTCTCTAATAGCATTCGGCAGTGGTCCAACTCTGCTTGTGACTTTTGGAGTTGATCCTTCAGAACTTGGAAAGCTTTTGAAGAAGAAATGCTCTTAAAATCCATCAAAGTGTTCTGGTCATAAATAATAAATTACAAAGGTGAGGCATGCAAGAATATTTTATGAAACACATCTTTCTTTACTCTAAGATTGACTCCAACGTTGAATCTCAATTAAGCCATGTTATCATTGAAATACCAGCCAATAGATCAAACTCAAATACAATATTAATCTCAGATAAAATAATTAAACGATGCTTGATTAGGCATCTTTTAGTTGAGAGGATGGAAAATCAAAAATATAGATTTCATGAAAAAACATCTCTTTTTGAACGTCTGTATGTCACCCTCTGGAGACTACAGATAATCTAGGGTTACTTTCGTTAGTGTTGGTACTTGGTAGGAAAGCAAATCCAAAAAAGCTGCAGCACGGGTGGAAAATACTAGTACTACATATCAACCCTGGAACAACACTAAAAAATGTGGAACAGTGTTACTTCACTTGGTATTGGCACACCTAAACAAGCCGCGTGCAAACCTGGAAGGTAGACAACTTGTTCAAAATTTCAATTCTATCTTCGTGAAGTCTCCTTATTTCCACCAAACGTTGTGAAATCAGATCCTGATCCAAGTAACAGAGCAAGCTACATTAGGTTCAGAGCAAACATAGGCAACACTGGAAGTTAAAGAAAAAACTTAATATTTACCGTAAACTCCTTGTGACATGCCTCTAGATCCTGCAATTCCTTTTGTTTGTCTCTGACATTATCCTCAGGCAAGCTTTTATTTCCTAAAGTTGGAAATAAGATTGGAGTTCCATGTGTAGGGTCTCCCTGTGCTTTGAGGACTGCCAATTTGTGGTTGCTTTCTTCCAACTCAGCAACAGCACTTGCCAGCTCCTCTTGAAAAGTTAAAAACATCTCAGTAAAGTCGATTTGACGATCCTTAACATTAGTTGCAAATAGCATCATAGGAACATATATAGTGTGCAAACATTGTCTGAATAGTTCCTCACGTCTAATCAGTCTGATGGGCCACTGTGTGACCAGGTTGGTCTAGATGCAATGCAATACGGTTGAAGTGATCCGATTAATCCTCAAAAACAAGGATCAGCGTTTATTGTTGCGTAAGTACAGAAATCTTAGCAGAACAAAATAAACATTCCTACCTAGCCAGTATATCTCATCCTGGCTCAGTCCAGCATGCAGTGTGCTTTCATTGAGGGAACCCCCGGCTCTGCCTCTCTCGCATATCCACATCTCTTTTCCAGTCGCCTCTTTGTCCCAATCCAGCTGAGATCTCTCCATTCCTTCTGATCTCTCTCCAACTCTCTCCTGTCTATTATATATCCTCTCTCGACCCCTCTCTTCCCTCTCATCTCCATTCATCCTCTCTAAACCTTCCTATTGTCAATGTCTGACCAGAGGTAGGAAGCGGTAGCAACTTACGTGAGGCAAGAACAGCAGACAAGTGAAGAAGGTTGTGGTGGTAGGAACACGTCGAGGGATTGTTGGTGGGAAGGGATTTAAGGAGAGTGGGTGGTTAGATATTGATAGATTTGATGGAAAGCATGGTGCGGCGGCATATCAGAAGGGTATTGGCAGGTATGAAAGATGTCAAAATAATATATATAATAAGACATTAACAATCTGTCGTATGTAGCCATATCTACATATGTAAAGCATCTCGTGTTTAAGCAAAGATACCTTTAAGGAGTTTCTGTTCAGCTTTGCTTCGAGCGTTTAAACATCTCTCTTCATGGTGCTTCTCTGTTAACCGCCTGTGCTTCAAGTGGAGATCACTAAGTTCTTGTATGGCATCATTAAGCTGTAGTGACAGCTCAGTACCAGTAGTTCGCAATTCCCTACTACGCTCTGCAGTGAAGAAACAAAGTAAGGTAATGTTACCAAAGGAGTATGGAATTTTCAGTCCTTTAGCTGTAATTAATAAATAAATATTACCAAGGAAATGTGAAGAACAAACCATTTTCAGGTAATGCAGCAAAGAGATCTAACAGAGACTTCTTATTTGCATGCCATGAATCATTTGATGAGAACAATATATTCTGCAGCACATCAGTACTTGACGAGTGTACATGGTTTTCCAAATGGCAACCTGAACTTTCTGTGGCACCTGTCTCAACAAGTCTGCTAAGGAAGTCCTTGTCTTTTGGGATGCATGTGCCATCTGAATAGGAAATTAGAAACTAAATCTTGTAATACTTGGCACAATACCTAAGTTTAGAATATTTCACAACCACCAAAATAAATCAAATACAATAAAGTGCAAGCTTCATAGATTGCAAAAAAGAAAAAAACCTTCATGCAGATCCTAACAAGAGTGGAGAAGACACATATACTGCTTCCATTACAACTTTTTATACATGACAATCAAATCAATTCAGGTAAGAAGAAAGTCATACCTGTAGACACATTGCTAGGACCTGCACTGCAGGAAGGATTTTGAAATCCACTTTTGCAAGCAGAAATAGCCTTCAAATCTCTCACAAGCTGTTCAAGTATAGCATTTACCGTAAAGAAAAGGAAGACTTGTGGTATTTTGCAGTAACAACAAGGTTGGTTTTAGCTTACATGCTCCCAAGACTTGTTAGCTAGATCTTGGGTCTCGTGGTGAGCCTTCTGTTTCTGCTTGAGATCATCAAATTTACCCTCAAGGGCATGGTACTCAAACTTATGGACTGCTAGCTGTTCTGAAAGCTTTTGGTTTCTGTATTTAAGTACAGCGAAATCAAGCTGCCAACCAGGAAGAAAGTTACAAGTTAACACCAAATATAAAAATATAGAGAAGAATTAATGAAAATTGCAGTGTAGAAAAAGCACAAAAAGGAAATCCGGTTTATGAGCATGGCTTGGCAATACTGCTGTAATGAACGATGCAAGAACAAAATCTGCAGAAGAAAGTATGGCAAATAATAGAAGTGCATTAATGATCGTATATCTGTTTTGTGCATCCTTATGCAACATGACAACATACACCAAATAGAGCTATATTTAAAATGCAAGCAGCAATTTATATCCAATTTTTTGCAAAGGTACATGTTATTGTATCCTCAATCATCTCTCTAAATGCATGCTAGATTTGCTTCCATGGCGACACGGCTTTTACCATATATATATAACACCAACCATGTCTTGAACAATTTCAGCAAGACTTTTTAGGTCTAACTAAGGGAGGCAACATGTAAAGTTGTACAGTACACTTTGCAGCGAGATAAAGTTACGATTGACAAATGCAGATTTGACAACTGTTCATGCATATATCAGTAGGCTGCCCATGCAACGCTCCAAGGTAAACCCTGAATGCAAGCAGGCTGGCTAATCCAGTAAAACCGGATATGCCCAAGGTAAAATAACTTATATTGCGATCTGAGAAGCTCCTGAACTAACCTGGCAATGTCGCCGACCCCAGCTACCTAATGTCCTGGCGACATGGCTTTTACTATATAACACCAATCATGCCCTGAACAATTTCAGCAACACTTTTTAGGTCTAACTAAGGGAGACAACATGTAAAGTTGTACAGTACACTTTGCAGTTAGATAAAGTTACAATTGGACAAATGCAGATTTGACAACCATTCATGCGTATGTCAGTACACTGCACATGCAACGCTCCAAGGTAAATCCTGCACGCAAGCAGGCTGGCCAATCCGGTAAAACCGGATATGCCAAAGGTAAAAGAACTTATATTGTGATCTGATAAGCTCCTGAACTAATCTGGCAATGTCGCTGAACTCAGCTACCTAATAAAGGATACAAATAAAATTAAAGTAGCAAGCCTTTACAAACCAGCCTATGGCAAGCAAGCGTGAACTACTTGACAACTTGAAATGAGGAGTGTACCTTCTTGTTGTGAACAATAGCGGATTGCCTAAAGACTCTAAATGAGGTGTATATCTAACAACAAGACAATTAGGTCTAACTAAGGCAAAAGGAGAAGTTGTGCATCAAACTTTACAGTGAGCTAAAATTCGGCTGAAAAAGTATGGACATGCAAAATGTTATAGTGGGACACGCATGCAAGGCGCAACTGGATTGCCAAAACCGGCTTAAACAGACATGTAGCTCTAGATAAAATGACTCTTTTTGTGAGGTAATAACTGTTATTGAGATTTCAGAAGCTCCTATAGATTCATGAACTACCCTGGCAAGGTCGTTGACCTGGATTACCTGATGCACGATCAAAACAGTTGAAGTAAAAGTCATCACACAGTTGCCTACCTTAACATAGTGAACTACTTAGAGACTTCGAATGAGGCGTATACCTTCTTGTCGCCGGAGGAAGGCGGAAGCGCTGGGCGCTTGGCGGGAGATACAAAGGAGTCAGAGAGACGCCGCTTCCGATAGGGCTCACCGGTGCTGCCCATAGGTCCAAGCCTGACCAGCCGTCCCGCCTCGTCCAGTCCGCCGCATGCGGAGTACACCAAACTCAGAAAAACCCGAACCAATCCTCACGACAACACCAGCCCAACCCGACGCCACAACCCAAACCCTACCCGACCACGCGATCAATCAGAAGCAGCAAATTTGTGAGGGTTTGCTCGCGGAACGGAGCCGAAGGGAATTGGTAACTGTACTGTGCGGCTTAATTTGGGATTACAGGGGGTCAGATTGAATCGAAGAGATGAGAGGCTGAGAATTAGAGGTAGTTTTGGTGTGCAGTGCATATGCGTGTACTGTGTGAAGAGTCTACTAGAGATTGGAGAGGAAGAGGGAGGGGAGGAGGAAGAGACGGAGGAGAGCGAAAAAAAGTCATTTTACCTAGGGCTATAAGTCTGTTTAAGTCAGTTTTGGCAATCCAGTTGCGCCTTGCATGCGTGTCCCACTATAATGGTTGGCATGCCCATACTTGTTCAGCTGCAATTTTATCTCACTGCAAAGTTTAGTGCACAACTTCTCTTCTTGCCTTAGTTAGGCCTAAAGGGTGAAATTGCATACAACTCAGCAATGTGTGAAAGTGCATACACGTCAGCAATGCTGGTCAATAGTACAAACACCACCAGGTTTCCAAAAAGATTAAAATCTATCATGAACAAAAAGGGACATCTTCTAAAAGCAGTGCAGTAGCCAGTTAGTTCTAATTGCAGATGACTCCTGACTACTAATTCTTGACTGCAATCATGTCATTTTCTACAGCATCTTTTTTCTTTCTTCATAGTAACAAATACTCTAATTAAGAATAGTGCAAAATAACAGGCAGTATTGAGCATGTAGTGGCATAAGCTTCGCCATGTACCTTTCACCATGAGAATCTATCTACCTAACTATATATGCTGCATATCATTTCCAGAGGAAAAAATGAGATGTTGCACATTATTTAGCGGCTCTGGCATCAGTCGGAAGATAATTCAAGCAATCTTGTAAAAAACTTGTTTCACTCACCATGGGAAAAGCAAAACTTCAGGAGGGGATGCAGAGGTGAGCTTCAGGTGGACAGGGAGCACCGAGGCGGATGCAGGGCATTAGGGGAGCGGCGAGATGAAGAGCGCCGTGAGATGGACGGTGCGGAGAGATGCAGGGCGCGACGAGGCGGCGACGGGTGGCAGTAGCTGCAGGGGGTGAGGAGAGGCGTGATGAGATGGTGGAGGGGTTGCTG